TCATTTGAACATTTTAAAATTCCCCAGCCCATATGGGGCGCTCTGTTATCGGACTGCCCCTTGGGCTGTGCCTGACAGCACAGTGAGGTATAGAAACTGCAGCCAGAAACGAGCATCGGTGTTGTCACTGATGCACCTGCGTGCTTCGTGCTGGGCGGGGTGTTGTGAGGGAGCTGGCTTAGGGTTGTGAGGATGCTGCAGTGTCACGGTCCCTGTGCTTATAAACAGCAGGACCAGAGCAGCTCACCGTTCAGAGGGAGCAGTATTGCAGCTCTGTGTCCTGCAGTGGCCTCTGTATCACACAGTAAAAAATGAGAGGGAATATATATAAACCAGCAGCATATTTATTCTGAAAGCACTGATGATCCCAAGAGCTTCCCCAGACAGTGATGAATGCTGCGTCGTTATTGGTGTGAGCAGGGGATGAACTGCTGCTCGCAGGCCAGACAATGCTCCAGAGGCCGGCTGGGAATTTCCAATTTACATAGAAGTTGTTTTCCAGAAGTTCACTTTCACATCCTTTATTTTGAGCTTGGGCGGCAGCCCCCCGGAGAAAGGGTGATATGCAGTAACAATGACTGACTTGTATTCAGTCTTTCCTTCTTTACTGAGCACTTTGGAGAGAATGATATAGCTCGGCTATGGAGCCAACCAGGTGACTTGACCTCACTAATCTGTGGGGAATTTAAAACATGGGGACAATCGCTGCAGCCCTCCCCGGGCTGTAAATGAGTCAGCCCAGTGCCAGGAGCATGACAAGTGCTGTCCCTCTTCTCCCACCCCCACTGTGGCCATGTGAGCAGAAGGTTGAGGAGGAGCCGCCGCGAGGCCAGCCATCTCGCCCCCCACCCCTAGTTCCCTGCATCCCCATGTGCCATTGTCGTTGTCAGTGCCAGCTCCTTGCAGGGGGCACAGATAAGGAGAGTTCCCTACAGTAAGGAAAACATTATCTCCATTTTTAAATCTGCGCTTTGTAAAGTAACCAGGATGGATGGGTTGTCTCTCCTGCTGCGGGACATTTATTGAGCTTCTACGATGTGCCAGGCACTGTGCTCACAGAATCCTCACAGTCACCCCACAGTGAGGAGCTGGCGGAGTTGTGCTCCAGGCCAGTACCACCCAACTGCCAGTCGCCTTTTTCTCCCGTTACCCAGCTGCCGCTGGCTGGCACTGCCTCCAGGCGGGTGGCAGAGGTTACTGAATTGGAAAGTAAACTACATTCTACATCTGTCTGTCAATCCTGAAACTTTGCCTCATTCGACAATCTGTAAAACTTTTTAAAACTTGTGCCCAAACCATTGCGGGGGTGAGTGGGGGGGGGGGGGGAGGCCCCTCTGGGGAGCAGGGATCTTGAGTGTCGGTAATGTAGGAGAATCCACTGAGCTAGTATTTACGTATTCCCTTCCTGAGCTGCCAAGATCCTCTCTCATAGTGGTCCCATTTCACCCTAAAAAAAAAGAAAATCAAATTTGAAGTCAGATATTCTTAAATATATTCTTAAATATGTAAATATTTAAAATCTTGACTAATGATCCAGACCCTAAAGGCCCTATGGCTGCATAAGAGTTAAATCCTTAGGAGGCAAAGATGACCACAGACTTCTAAAAAAATCATGTTGAAGGTCAGGGTTCTTTTTTACTTCCTTTAAAAAAAAAAACCTTTCCAATTACAGCTGACATTCAGTACTATATGATTTCAGATGTACAGCGTTAGACATTTATATAACTTATGAAGCGATCCCCCTAAAAGTCTAGTACTAGGTCAGGGTTCTGTTAGGTGGACATGTCTGGTGTGGGAAAAGGGGCCAGGGACAGACGGGTCTAACTAACCTGGCTCAGGCAGGTAATGCTCCGTGACCTTAAGCAAGTTATTTACTAGTAAAATTCCTTTCCCATTTGTAAAGGGACTATGACAGGTACGTGACAAAAAAAAATCCAGACATCTCATTTCCTTAAGTATTTAAAACTTTACAATTGAAGGAGGGGTTGGAGTAGGGCCTTTCTTAGTCCTTTTGAATCGAGGGTGTGGTGGGGAGAGGGAAAAAAAAGCTGGGTGGGGTTTGATGGAGTAGGTGTGCAAAAATGGAAGACATGAACTTTGACATTCAAAGTGTAGCTGCAACCAGGGCTGTCTAGAACTTTTAATCTAAATGTTCAGCCTTTACCCAGTATTTCCAAGAGGTTCTATTCAGTGTCATTTTATTTCATTTTCAAAGGGCCAATGAAAAAATGGGGAAACCAGAAAAGTGATGAATTTTTATAATAAATAACTTTTAAGTAATTTCCAAAGGCCACAGGTAATCTTCCCTTTCTGGTACCTTTCATTTCTTTTGCCTTTTTATCTCGGTAAAATCAATTTTTATTTTAAAAAACAAAACAAAACAAAACTTGCCCGGCTGGTGTGGCTCAGTGATTGAACATCAACCTATGAACCAGGAGGTCATAGTTTGACTCCCAGTCAGGACACATGCCCAGGTTGCGGGCTCGATCCCCAGTGTGGGGCGTGCAGGAGGCAGCTACCTCAGAATCCAGGTGTCAGACCTATTTAATTCAGGTATTCTTTTAAATAATGATTTGCGCAGAAAGCAAGTCAGACCCTTGAAGATTTAAAATAACTGTTTTGCTCTCCCTTCCCCCACCCCTCAAATTCCCTGAATATTGTCTTCCTCACCCAGTGCAGAACGGGGGAGAGTGGAACCCTAGCAAAGCTCCTCATTGCGGTGTACACTAGTAGCCAGAACACGAGGATGCCTCTTCGTTTCTTGTGAAATGCTACATTAATACTTTCTGGAACTGTCACTTATGACTAAAAGCAGCATCTCAGCAGCTTTGAGCCCACTTGGCTTGGCAAACTGGGTGGTTCTTTTTAATGCCCCAATGAGTAGGCTGGAGCCCATACAGAAAGTTAGAGCCAGTATGGTGGTGGTCTGGGCTTTGCTGCTCTGGCCTCTTTGAAGACTGGCTTCTCCGGAGCCACTCCCTAGCCCTGGGTAGAGGACCCATCACGCCACACACAAGGTATGACATGCTGTTTGCAGCAGCCGCGCCAGAGCCACTACACAGCGATTTGCTGATGTCAGGCCAAGCTTAAAGTCCCTCAAAACGCAGGCTGGCCCAGGGTAGGGGCGCTGTGGCTTTGAGGAGGTCCCCACAGACCACTCCCAGCCCAGGTGCACAGGAATGGGATGCATTCCAGGAATGGGATGCATTTTGCCACAGCTAGGAAATGAGATGGTAAAGGCAGGGGGGTCAGAAAGGAGTGTTTGGAGATTCAGAATGAGAGCACTGCATGATGGGTCTTAGAGCTGGTGGGTGGTTTTTATGAGTTCTATTCCTGGGCCAGTTCTAAACACATGAGCACAGGAGCACATGTGCTAGACAACCGCACAGACATCCGGACTTTGGTGTCCTGGTGAATTCCAGCAGTGGCAGGGGTGCTTGTAAAATGCTGAGAGTACGTTCCATGGGACCCACAGAGTTCTTTGGTGTTGGAACCTGGAAGCTCTGCACATTATTAAGCATGTGGGATCATCTTCTCTTTATAATTTTTAGTTCCCCAAAATGTGTAATCACCCAGTAATCACTTTACTGGGTGATTACAGAAGTGAAGAGCAAATAGGAATTTTTTGCTGATGTTCCCACAGCTAATGATGCTTAATAACAGATCTAAATCTTGTTTTATACCTTTACCAGCAGCTTCAATTCCTAATATTGCTTTGGATGTATAAAAGCTTGATTTTTAAAGATGAAATACCTATGGATAAGGAAGATTTTGAGTTTTGGGGTTTCATTTAGTTTTAAAAGGTGTAAAGTTGGGCCCTGGCTGGTGTGGCTCAATTGGTCCAGTGTACCAAAAGGTTTCAGATTCGATTTCTGGTCAGGGCACATTTCCGGGTTGAGGGCTCAATCCCCTGTAAGGGGCATGCAGGAGTCAGCTGATAGATGTTTCACTCTCACATCGATGTTTCTCTCTCTCCCTTCCTTTCTCTCTAAAGAAAAAGTTTAAAGTTGGGAACATAGCTTTCCCCCTATTGGTGGAATGAATATGTGGCCTGTTTTATCTGCTTGTTATAGTGCCACCTTCTGTTGAAGTTCGTTTTGATAGCCATTAGTCACTATGCAGTGAATAAGAGAAAACAATCTATATATAAAATTCAGTTAAAAAGGAAAGCTTCTGAGTAAAATATAGTTAATTGCTAACTTTAACAATTCAAAAATTAAAATTTTAATTCAAAAATAAAAATTCAATCTCTTCTTGGTGGTAGAAAGTACTTGGGGAATTAAAACTGCATTATTATAAAATTAATAATTTGTTATTCCTTATTAAACACCTACATTTTAAAAATAGATATTATTCCATATGATTTAGACATGGCACAAAATAGCTAATACTTTTATCAATATTTATTAAGGTTTGTATAAAAAAATTGGCACTTCAGATTATTAAAATTTCAGGCATGGTAAATTTTGCATATTTTTAGGGAACAAATGCAGAAATTGCCGTGGATCTAACCTCCAAAATCAGCCTGTGGTATTTCTCAAAGACAGAGTTGACAGCATGAAGTAGGCAAAATGGACTAACCTAAGTCTGCCAAAAATAACTCATATCAAGTGGGTTTTTTCCTTTTAATTTTCTCATTCTGATAAAATTCTTGCTCTAAAAATTGGCTACAAATGAGGGGACTGAGACTCAGGTCAGACGTTTTTCTTTAAATACTTCTGTTCCATGAAAATGAAATAGGGCTTTTGGAAGTCGGACCGAATTTCCATCACGATTTGTAAACTGATTTGAGTCATTAGGTAAAACTTAAATCAGACACTGAGCTCGCAGATCACACTGAATTGACTCCAGGCGGATAACCTGTGCCTCATTGTCCAGGTACAGCGTGGAGCTGGCAGGCATGGGAGTGAGTTATATGTTCACAGCTTAACCTCCCTGCACCAAAGGAACGTTCCTTCCGGCTCCCTCTCTGAAGGTGTCGCTTTTGTCTCTCTTCCCAGGGACCCTCTGAAAATCCAGCAACTGCAGAACCAGATCCGCCTGGAGCAGGAGGCCAGTGCGCGGCACCCGGTGACCGGCACCCCGTGCAGCGCGCCCCCATCGCCGCCCTTCCCGCCACCGCCCGCCTTCCCCGAGCTCGCGGCCTGCGCGTCGCCCTTGGCCCTGGAGCCCATGAGCGCACTCGCCTCGCGCGCCGCCCCCACCATGCAGTCCTCCGGCTCCTTCAACTATGCGCGCCCCAAGCAGTTCATCGCGGCTCAGAACCTCGGTCCCGCGTCCAGCCAAGGCACCCCGGCCTCCAGCCCCAGCTCCTCCAGCCTCCCGTCGCCCCTGTCCCCGACACCGAAGCATTTTGGCCGCGCGCCCGCGCCACCCTTCGCGCAGCCCTTCGGCACCGAGGCCGAGGCGCCGTGGAGTCCCTCCTCGCCATCGCCCCCGCCGCCGCCGCCCCCGGTCTTCAGCCCCACCACGGCCTTCCCGGTGCCCGACGTGTTCCCGCTGCCGCCGCCGCCGCCGCCGCTCCCCAGCTCGGCCCCGGCCTCCCACTGCGCCTCCCCCGCTGCCCGCTTTGGCCACAGCCATTCGCCCGCGGCCTTCCTCAGCTCCATGCTGCCCTCGCAGCCGCAGCCTGTCGCCGTCAACGCCCTGGGCCTGCCCAAGGGCGTCACCCCCGCGTGAGTGACAGCACCCCCCTCCCCTCCCACCTGAGGTTGCCTGGCCCCTTCCCCATGCACCACTGACCTGCAGCCCAAAGGGGTACCCCTGTCACCTTTTTACATACCTACCCTCTTCCAGTTTTTAAATTCTCATCACCTGACCAAGCTGTTCTTGCATAGCCACCTTACGTTGCTGAGAGCAGCACTTTCTTCTGCGTTACCAGGAGATGATCTCAGGAGCTCCCCAAATCTAAGCAGTGCTTTCACATTCGAAGACAGTGGCGTCAGCTACCATTTCCTGAGCATAGTGCAGTTCACTTGTGTTCCCTCATTTGGTACACTTCTAAGATATATGAAGGGTTCCAGTAGTCAAACAGTTTGCCGGGGTCACACAGCCATCACATGGAGATTTGAATCCGTGCCTGACTCCAAATCCATGCGCATACCACCAAATTATGTACAGTCAAAATCGGTTCTCCGATGTCTCCTATCTCGAGCAGTTCAGTTCTTGACCAAGTTGTTCACAGGAAAAAAAAATGTCTCGGTTATTGACCAAAACTTCAGTTTTCGACCTGACAGCCCTTTCATGTTGATACCTCAGCATGACAAAAAGCATCTCTCAGGCAACAAATAAAGGAGCGAATGCTTTTGTTGCTGGCAAAATCCACAATTCGCACAATTTTAAAACATAAAGAGGCCATCAAGAGTGCTAATGTTGCTAAGGATGTGAAAGTGCTCACTACACAACAATCCCAGACAGTTGTATGGGTAGAAAAACTGTTGTTGATCGGGTAAAGGAAAGCAGTTAGGCAGTGACAGTATTTCGAAGGCAGTGATATATGACAAATCCCTTTAATGCTAGTAGGGGGTGGTTCCATAAATTTAAGAAGTTTTTATTTAACGGTTAAACAGTACATGAGACATATACTGTATATAAGAAAGGTTAAAATGGAATCATTTGGGAGTCTGGGACAGATTAATTCCATTTACATTATTTCTAATGGGGAAAAGGGATTCGGTTTTCGAACAATCGCTTCTCAAACAGCCTTTCAGAGTAAACTGAGTTTGAGAAATGAGGTTCCTCTGTATCTTAATATTTCAGATCAATATTACAATAGAGGTGGAGGGGCTTGGTTATTAAGTATATACAATGTTTTTGAACTATCTAAATTAACAGAATTAACTTACATTTAGGTAGTGATTGATTGGAAGGGGGTGCGTGTAAATGTCTTTATGTTGGTGATGCAAATAAGTGAGGCCGCGTGCAATCTAGTGAAGAAATGATGGTGCCGGTCTGACCCCAGCCAGCAGTGATCTCAGGGGAGGTGACGGGGATCCTCTGTTTCTCTCTTTGCATTTTATCTCATACCTGTCTTTCCTTCTGTCACAATGATGGCATGCAGCCCTCTGACATTTTTAAATAGAAAATTTATGAAGATAAATACGATGACAGCTACAAAAGTACAGTAAAGCCTCCAAAGGAACATCGTACGGGTGTCTGGCATGTCTTGGTGAAGAGGGAGTGTGTGAAAGCTAGCACCCGCTCGTTTTACTGAAGAGTTCAGAAATAAGTAAGTGCTAGCAGAGGTCAAGCCAGTTCCCATGTCTCAACTCCTCCTGTTGAATCCCTACTCCAGAGTCTGCCAGAATCCCAATATTGCTCAGAGAGAAAAGAAGGAAACTCTACTACAGAATATAAATGAGAAGACCTTAGGATGCTGGCTATTTCCATCTGTGTGGAAACATTTTCCTTTCTGGGCTGCACTAGCGCCGCCTTAGAAAGTATTGCTGTGTTTGACTTTGACAGGGCGTGTCAAGGCGCTTTGGTTAGCAGTGTCTTGTTTTGTCAGGCACCTTCTAAATGTTGATTACATGAACTCAAAATCTGGCTTCTTCTCAAATCTTTATTGGAAAAAGTTCAGTCAAATGAATACATAAATAAGTGAAATAAAGGAGAGGTCTGTGTGGTAATGATGTGATAATGGGCTTCTACTGAAAGTTGAGTCAGAGGGATTGCCTGAGAAAACCTTTCTCTTTCTCCCCTGCTTCTCTGAGCTAGGAAATGAAGCATTATCTTGATACAAAGACACTAACTGCCCGCTTCAAGAAGCGGGTGTTGGCTGCATGACACTTTATCCTCTCTTGTAAGACGAAATGGTACCAAATCTTGCTTCCTAGGAAGATAAATACTATATAAATAATTTACTACTCCTCATGTAGGACTTTAAAGAGTAGTCTATCAAAGGCACTGGGTGGTCATGCCTTTTCCTAAATAGAAACAGTGGTTTTATTCTGATCTTGGACTTTGAAATTATCTGAAGAAGATAAAAACCTTAAGAGGTTTTAAGATCTTAACCTCAAGTAACAGAAGCATTTGCTTCTTATCAGCCTGTATCGCAGTGACTCGTTTTATAGAGTCAACGTATTTTATACTTGCCTCCACTAGAGTCCAGTAGCTCCTGCCTTTTCTTTTAAGTTAATGGAGAAGTCATGCTGGTTTTGTGCCTGTACAAAACTGTCCCCAGAGATAGTTAGGTGCTGGGACACCGAAGACAAGTGGCAATGCCAGGCAGCAGATGTTTAGCTCTGTCCCAGCCCAGCAAGCCATCGTTATATGGCTGTCCTCTGTCTTCTAGAGACGTTCCTGTTGCTAAGTCACACGCTTGGATTCTTTCTTTGGGTTTGAGACATGTAACTTGTAGAACTTATTTTCCTCTGGCATAAAGTGAGGAACATTTTTTTCCTCGCTTGCATTCTGAATGAAAAACAAAAAGGTAGCTCTTTATTCATGATAATAAGCCACATCATTTGCCAAAGACCGTGTTCCTTTTGGGGCTGCCACAACTAACTGGCATCCGTGAACTTGGAGGAACTGCCAGACTCTTGTGAGATGAACCTTTTCAATTACTTTCATTCATATGTCATTGGTTACTCGTGGCCATTGTGACAGCAAATTCAGTGTCATTTGTGTTATTTCTCTAACTCAGGGGTAGGGAACCTTTTTCCTGCCAAGGGCCATTTGGATACGTATAACATCATTTGTGGGCCGTACAAAATTATCAACTTAAAAATTACTCTGCTATATTTGGTCAAACATTTAATTAACTCACCTCTAATGCCTTGGCAGGGCCAGACCGAATGATTTCTCAGGCCTTATGTGGCCCTCGGGCCAGACATTGCCCACCCTTGCGTCTAGTTGGATGATTCTGGCGTATGTGTCAAGTTGTAGTAAATAGATTGATGACACATCTCAGTGAAGTAGAAATACATTAGTTTGTGTGTGTGTGTGTGTGTGTGTGTGTGTGTGTGTGTGTTTTGGCCTGCCTTGTTTTACCAAAATTTTTATAAATTTCAGATACCTGTTTTCTGACTCAATTGCATACCAGCTGTTTTAGTCTGTCTGCATGTTTACCATTGTCCTTGTTAAAGAATAGGTTGGTTATTTACTAACTTTCTAAATGGTCTGTGGAGATGAGGTTCTGTTTCTCAAAAGTCTGGGTAGCAGAGGTCGAGGCGGGGGACACAGGCCATGGCTGCCCGTGATCACCACAGTCAGGAAGACAAACAAGAGCGAGCAGCCTGGCAGCAGCGGCAGTCAGTCGCTGGTTGACTGTGGTTTGGGGAGCTTCGGCACCAGGGGTTCCTCTGGTGCCTTTCTTCAGGCTGCCACAGTCCTCCGCGAGGTTCCCGGGGTCACCAGCAGAGGAAACAGCGCCCTCCTTTAAGCTGCGATACCCGCGAATGTTAAGGTGACTGGGTCTCAGGTGCAGGCAGTGAGGAGAACACGCCTTAGAAAGAAATGTTTGCACTTTTATAAAAGGAATGTCTTCCATTCCCCTCACAAATGCGGACAGGTTTACAGTTCCCATTGCTGTAACCCCGTTCTTCTACTCAACCTGGCCCATCAGCCCTGAGAGCGGGTGGAATCCCGAGGACTTGGGAATGGCGCCCGGAGGCAGTGCCGCAGCCCTATCTGTGCTGGTCTCTGAGCAGCTGCACCACCCTCAAGGGGAACCGTATCAGATCCAGCCCGAGAACCCATTGGCACTGTGGTTTTTGCCCACCTTAGCATTCTTGGCATCTGTTCTCACAGAGGGGTGCCCCATAACCAAAGTGCTGCACTACTGCATATTCTTCGTTGCCTCTCCTAGAAGTAGGTCTTTGGTTTGAAACATTACCCCATGTTTGTCAAGAATAAAAGCAGGTCTCAGTAAGAGCCTTTATACAGATGTATTGAGAGCCTTTATTCTGCAGGCACTCGGCCCTTTATAGACATGATCTCACTGTCCCTCTCCCTCCCTCCCCACCCCACCCCCCTCCGTGTATAAGAAACAGGTAGGTGGGAACACTGTCCTTATTCAAGGTGACAGGCACCAAGAGGTGAGGAGATTTCCCAGGGTGCTAGAATAAACTTAAGCAAGGAGGGGAGTCATTAGATCTAATGACTTGCCCCAGTTTATCTCTAAAACATCTGATGTCTGTTATTTCTTAATGAAAGAAAACTGCTACAGACCAACAAAGCAAAATTGCCCAAGTCTCAAGAGAAAGTTCGAAAACAGATGCAAATGCACTTTAGTTTTCAAGTCAAGACAGTGGTTGGATAGTAACTAGTAGAAAAGACAAAAGCTGCATTGGACTCTGCAGACATGACACCGGGATCTTGTCCTTCTGTTCTGCAGGAGACTGGTGGGCGGGGGCCGCGTCATGCCCCATTAGAGGCTGAGGCTGAGAGGGTTGGGGGCTACCCCAGGGCCTTGTCATTGGGCTCATTTCGGTCCTAACAGTATGCCGTAGAGGAATCTACACAAAGTTGTAACCAACCCTGGGCAAGTATGTCCCAGCAAATTAGCAGGAGCGGTCTCGGGGTCCGCTGTGACTAGTGACAATTCTGCTGAAATGTCTGCTCAGAATGAGACCTGTTCTGTCCTGGATGGCTCTATATGGAGTTATGTGGGGTTAACAAATAGGCATAGCACACGCAGGTGTGTGTTTATTCTTTAGAGAACCCAAAAGAGGATGTGAAGAGAAGCTAATATTAGTATAAATTGATCTATTTTCCTTAATTAAGCATGAGCTTCAGGTACTCACTGTACTCTAATCACTTTGGCTTTAGATATACAAAAACTCAGTTTGTGTATTCTGGGCTTTTTTTTAAAAAATATGGAACGCTTCACAAATTTGCGTGTCATCCTTCCGCAGGGGCCATGCAAATCTTCTCTGTATCATTCCAATTTTAGTATATGTGCTGCCAAAGCGAGCACGATTTGGGGCTCTTTCATATATTAATTGACATATTACTTTCTTAAACATGAGGGATAACGAAGTGCCAACATGTTAATGATTTTGCTCACTCTGGAACTGTTGTGAAATTTCGTTGCCATTAGATAATCACTGACTATGAGAGGACTCTATTAGTAGTTTAAAAAGTTCTCCAGACAGGTTCATGACCTCTTAAATCAGTGCTGTACTCTGGAGATTTGAGTTCCTGAAATAACACTGACCGAGTTGACCTAGACTAGTATATCAAGGGGAGGATGCTCTTAAGATTATTCAGTAGCCAAGGTGGGGGGGGGGGGGGCAGGAGGGGGATCTTCTGGGATTTGGTGGTGGCTGAATCTGGAAGAGTTGACCTCCCAGATGCTTGCATCTGTGCTTGAGAGGTTTCTGCCCCACCCCCGCCACATGGGTGTTATTTGTAAACGTAAGTGACTTACTGCTGAAGCCAGAGTAAACAGTGCTGCTTTCTGCACAGTGGGGCTGAGCGTGTGAACGACTAACGGCTGTCGTGTGGGAGGCTTGGATGGACTGTGTAAAGGTTGAGGTTTGCTTCTGGGTAAGGGTTTTGTGAAGGTGCTGCTTTGGGTAACGGTTTTCTTGGAATAAGCATTTTACTTGTAATTGCACAAATCATCTTTGTCACCACGCATTATTTCCTGATGAGCTGTTGCTCTTCATTTACCAAAAGTAGGTGCCATCTAGGGGAACAAGCCACAGCCATTTTAATTACCCTGAACTCCAACACAGAGTTAGCTTTATAGGAAAACAACCCGTTCACCAAAACTTTGCCTCAAAAACTTACAACTACTTTTCTTTCCTGGGGCCTCCCCCTTCCAAATCCTCCATTTTGGTTCTTAACCCAAACTTTATATACTAACCCCTTAACTCTGTACTCACTCAGTTTTTAACAGTTTCTAAGTATTTCCTGAAGTGCATTAGTCCAAATGAGATACTCTTGGGGGGGGGGGGGCTCCATATTAAAACAAGTATGAGAAATGCTGTAACCTGTGCCTGTACCTCTGTCCCCAAGGCTCACAACGCCCTGTCAACCTGCCAGGCTCATTCTGGCCGAGGACCTTTGCACTGCCCCGCTCTCCCATAGGCCCTCACACAGGTGGCACCGTCCTATCACCTGGGCCTCAGCTGTAGTGTCAGCTGCTCAGAACTGGGATTAACCTCACTGTCTAGTCATCTCCTCACACTCCCGTCACTTCACAGCACTGACCACCTCCTGGTATGTCCCTCCTTCCATCCTTCCTTCCCTCCCTCCCTTCCTCTACTTCCTTTCCCTCTCCCCCCTCCCCCCCCCACCACAGTAGAAGTTTTGTAAGTATAGTGACTTAAGTTTTGTTCAGCATTGTATTCCTAGAGCAAAGCTGAGCCCTGAAAAGTCCATCAGTAAAGGTTATTTCCACAGTTTTGGAGACTCTAGCCCAGGGTTCTTGGCATCTTTTTTTTACCTCCTTCCCCTCTTTCATTCCATTTCCCTCGGCCAATCTCGTCTCTGGGGTTCACTTCCATGCTGGCTAGTTTCTGTAAGCTATGCATCACCTCATGCAATTTCCCCAATAATGCTATGAGACTCATGCATTTAAAAATCTTCCATTTGCTTCATTCATTTCAGTGTTAATTGCTCAGAATCAAGAAAATACATGTACCTTGAATTTCTGTAAGTAAGGGAAAATAATGTCTTTAAAAATAGGGGGAAACGGAGATGAAGTAGATGCCCTTCGAATGCTGGTCATCTTCCTGTGCTTAGGGAGCCGGCTTGTTAAAGAAGAAATACAGAATGATCGGGGTTTGTATTTGGATCTGAAGTTATAAGGCACCGAGCGGCAGGAGTGTCCTCCTGCCGAAGTGACTGTGCCTGCACGTGCCGTCCCGGAGCGGTGGTCCCCAGGTGCTTAGGTCCCCTGAGAGGCAAGTGCACTGAGAGACGCTTTTGAAGCGACAGGACTTATTCAGTAGTAAATAGACGGGTGTTTACTCATTCAGGAGAGCTGCGGCTGTCTTTTAAAAACACAGTGCCCTGCCTCTCTTGTTCAGGGCTCCGTCCTGGCCTCGAGAGCCCTCCTCTTGCCCCTTCCATGCTCATCTGTGAGAGAACACAGCTCTCGGCATGTCTGCCTGCAGACACACGGCAAGACTCCTGTCATCGCGGCTGCTCGCCGGCACACAGTTGTGCAACCGGCTTATGGTGTCAGGTACAAATGAATGACGGGAACCTGTGTGTTCCCAATAAAGCTGGTGTACAATGAGCGCCCTGTCTTTAGGACCAGCTTGCAGGTGCCTTCAGAACCTAGCTTTTCTAGTTCTCAGATGCAAGGTTGTCGTCAGAAGAACTTTATTTCCAAGACTGAGTAACGTTTTTACTTGTTCTGAACCTGACTTGTTATGTGTGGTTTGGTGTCCCACGGCTCTGGCACAAACGTTCTTGCCTGAGGAGGGAACACAGAGAGAGGTCGGAAGTGGAGATGGAGACACAGGGCATCCATGCACTCACTCCACCAGTGTGCTTTGGAGGCCTGCTATTTGACAGGCACTGTGATTAACAAAGGAGGCATGTGGGAGAGCGGCACACAGGACATGTAATGCTCACGTGTGCTAAGGGTTATGAAGAAAACAAACATGGTGCAATAATTAATGGGGTTGACTTAGGGCCCTCCATTCCGAGGAGACGTTAGGCTGGTGACATTACCCCAAGAAAAAGGGTAAGGAAGAGAGGCTCTGGGCTTAGGAAAGTAGGCAAACTATATAGATTTTTGTTAAATGGTTGCAAATCATAATTCCTACGGCCCTTGCTATTAATATGCCCCAAATTCATTGCCCAGCTCCTTAAAAATCAAGACCCATTCCCAGGGAGCAGTTTAAAGTTTGACTAACCACTTTGATATTACTAACACAGGATATCACAATATTTTATTTCTTTGTGTTGTTGTTTTTTTAAAACCAATGTCTAACATCATCCTATTTGAACTTCAGGGGCAAATGACTAGAAAGGAAGGACCTGGAAAAGCTATCAGAATGTTTCCATTGTAGGTAACAGAAGACTCAACTACCAGATTAAATGCATAAGGTTTATTGTTTAACATAACAAGTGGGGTCAGGCAGTTCCGTGGTAGGTGAACACAGTGTCCCCCAACAATCGGGGACGCAGGCTCTTTCGAAGCTGTCGTCATTGGCACGCGGGCTCTCCCTTGGTGGTCACGAAGTGGATGCGGCCGTTTGGAACGTTACACTTTGGACACAGTGATAGAAGAGGAACATTTCTTCCTATGTGTTTCTTTTCAGAGATGGGGAGTTTTTAACTGGGGCACCGCACCCCTCTCTCCCACCTCTATTCCCCTATCTCATTGGCTAGGGCGCTACCACAGACCTCTGGCTCCTTACTGTCCAGAGGATTGAGACCACTCAAACTGACATAGATTAATCACCCCTGGGGTTGGAGAGGGGTGGGGACCACCTTTCCCAAGCGCACTGAAGGATAAACACCCAACAAAATCAGAGGGAGCTCAGCCAGAAAACAAGGGGGAGTGGACAGGAGGAGAGAATGGCTGTTGGGAAGACCAGGTGCAGGCCCTCAGGAGGCAATGGGACAGGTATGCCATTTCTCCTTCATCTTTACCCTCAGCCTTGTGAGGGAAAGTAGGAGAAATAGGAGGGAAATTGCTTAAGGCACCAACGAAAGTGGATTCCACACGCACCAAGCACCAAGGCCCTGGCTCCCGTGGCTCAGGGTCCTGTCACTTATCTTGGAGAGAAAGGCTCTGGCATGTCACCTATCCTGAGAGGAGGTTGAGGAGGCCTGGGATGCACCTAGCACAGCAGGCCCTGCAGACCTTCCAGGTCCTCTAGGAGAGAACATCTTCCCTAATCAAGGTAGGACAGACGGAAAGGTAACACACTTAGTATCTGCTTAGCGTGGGCTAAGTACTGTTGTTGAATCCATTCATTTCAGAGAATCGGAAGGACTGAATTAATGAAAGTATGAAAGAAAAATATGTTCTCTTTCAAATCATCTCAACAGTCAGTTGTATACATTTTTATTCCTGCTCATAAGAAACGTTAAGAAACTGGCTCAAAGTCACAAACTTAATACAAGACAAAGCCAGATTTTAAGCCTAGGTCTGATTATAAATCACATCCTATTTTCCCTTCACCTGGCTGCCTCCTTAGAGCTAGAACGCAGGCCTTCGCTGTCCTTGGCATTTATCTAACCACCGAGGCACACTCCCCTAAGATGTCTGAACTTCCTCTGAAAACGGGTTCCAATTACTGTTACCTGAACACCGAATCCAGCTTTCATGGTTCTTTCCAAAATTAGTTAGAATAGATGTAGCGTAAAAACAAGAGTGGGAAGAAACACAATGACATGTGTACCCTTTCTTGCTAGACTTGAATGTTCAACTCGGGTTGATATGCCTGACAAAGGACTATACCGCCTTGTGCTTCTGCCCTGCAGGGGATTTCCAAAGAAGGCCAGCAGGACTGCTCGAATAGCCTCTGATGAGGAGATCCAGGGCACCAAGGACGCTGTCATTCAGGACCTGGAACGAAAACTGCGCTTCAAGGAGGACCTACTAAACAACGGCCAGCCGGTATGGAGAGACCGGGGGCCTGGGCTTGGAACACACGCTCCCCACATCAGAGAGCTCTTCCCTGGCTTCACTAAGACTTAGGTTCTTAAGATTTGTCCACAAACCTGATTTTATTGCCTTTGGATCTCTACATTCCTCTGAGTATAATGACTTGAATCCGGGGAAAAGGAGACAGTGGCTTCTTTCTGTTATTCCATAAACTATTGTTGGAGTCAGGATCGCAAGTTGGAGATAAAGGAAGAAGGGCTGATTTTAAGGTCTGGGGTAGAATAAATGCAGAACTGTGATGTTAAAAGAAAAAATAACAAACCTCTGGGAGGGGCAGGGGTGGGGAGGGAGGGAGAAGGTGTGCTTTGGAGCAATCTGTCTACACCAAAGCAGCAAATTAGAATTCAAGTACCAAAAGGAGAATTGGGATTCTATGGCATGTACCGATGCTACACAAAAAAATACCTTTACTAAGGAAATCATTGCTGGCGTCCAGTTCTATTCCACTAGACGATCACTATTGACTGAATAATCTGAAAGAGTAAGGCTGTTTCAGTCTTGTTCTGGTTTGTCAGAGCAAGACAACTAGATAGACTCAAGAAAAAAATAATTATGTTTGAAAGCTGCAGAATTGTAGAGTAGATAAAGCTTTCTCCATTGGACTTAAATGTTTCCTCATCAGTTGTTTGTTTTTTATGTTTTTTACTGACCCTTTTCTCATCACATCAGAATATTTTAAGGGGACAGGAAAAGCAAGTCTATCAGTAAGATTTCCCCAATGAAGGAAAGGAGCCTTTGTGTGGCTTTATTATGGAATTAGCACCAGAAAATGTGCTTGGCTCTTAAGTACAAGAGAAAAAGGGCCTTTGTATAAAGTCTCCCTCTCAGACACCTTTTTCAGAATAGAAATCTCACGGTGCTAATTATGTTTTCTAGAAATTTTAATTATAAAGCATTGATAACTAAAAATGTGAGAACAGACCCTGTTTGAACAGAAAGGTAGGGAACAAAGGTGCTGATTTTAACTAGTAGGGCATCCTGATCCTGGTTCAGGAAGACTAAGATCCTCATGAGATCTTGTGTTAGTTACTCATCTCACTGAGAACAGACTTTGACAGAGGGAAATGCTTCTCCCTGAAATGACTGTGTGTGTCCGTGCACATACTCGGGACGTCTGCTCTGGCTCTGTCAATGGAAGCCTTTGAAAGGTTAAAACAAGTGCTTATGGGAACTTTTTCAGGCCAGGTAAGGGATGGCATCTCTCCAGTTTGTTTCTTTTTCCTTTCTGGCTGTTTAAATATTCTTTATGGACTAAAATTCTCTTGGTTAAAGTAAGACTTCTATAAGATATTATAGCATACTATATAAATTATATGTATATAGTATTTTTATTTGTCATATTTCACTGGGATATATACAGAATGACATCACAATAAGGGCCATAGATTTCCATATTGAAGAGTTTAAAAGGACAAGGAAAGTAAGGCTTCCACTTTTAGGAAATAGGACCCTCAAGCAACTTTTCCCTAATGTTACATATTATTGTTACTTCTTTTTGGCTTCCAAAGATAGGGCTTGTATATCCACATGGCATAGTGCAGTGATGGCGAACCTATGACACGTGTGTCAGAGGTGACACACGAACTCATTTTTTTGGTTGATTTTTCTTTGTTAAATGGCATTTAAATATATAAAATAAATATCAAAAATATAAGTCTTTGTTTTACTATGGTTGCAAAGATCAAAAAATTTCTATATGTGACACAGCACCAGAGTTAAGTTAGGGTTTTTCAAAATGCTGACACGCCGAGCTCAAAAGGTTCGCCATCACTGGCATAGTGCTTAGAAACAAAACTGTGAAGCAAATTTGGCTTCTAATGATGCAAGTGCATTCAGGTGAAGGACTATGTGTCAAATTGATGTCTTTGTTTATGAGGAACAGAGTGGGAAATTATTCCAGTCCTCTCTCTGCTGCTGATGCAGTTTTCCATGAAACTTTAGGAAGACTTTTAAGGGAGCAGAATTCATTGATTTTTATTTACTTATTTTTTTAGAATCATGAGAAAAATAGCCCTAGCCAGTTTGTCTCAGTGGATAGAGCGTCGGCCTGGGGACTGAAGGGTCCCCGGTTCGATTCCGGTCAAGGGCACCTGCCTGGATTGCAGACTTGATCCCAGTAGGGGGCATGCAAGAGGCAACCGATCAATGATTCTCATCATTGATGTTTCTATCTCTCTCTCTCCCTTTCCCTTCCTCTCTGAAACCAATAAAAAAATTTTTTTAAAAAAAGAAACATGAGAAAATTTACATAATAACATATTGATTGGGCTGAGACACTCCGTGCACCAAACACCTACTTCTGCCTCTTCTTGTCCTCTGCCCTTCTTGGCTAAATGAAATAATTTGAACTTCAGGGCTGCTTGTCATTTGGCACTTGACTTGTTTCAATTCCCGGCTTCAGTTGGGCGTGGAACCAGTGATTACTGGAAATTATAAATTTACCCCACATATTTTCCTGATTAGAGAGCGTTTCCAATAGAATTTGCATCCATATTCAGAAGTTTAGAAGTTTATCTAAAATAATTTCTGTACTATATTTTAGATCCTGCCTTACTAATTCTTCTTTATTTTCAGTCAAACAGTTGCTTGTAAAATGCCCCTGATGGGGAAATGGTCTCTTAAATTTCATCCCAGACCTGTAATTCTAAGGCATTTTCAACCCACCACTCAAGAGCAGGAATCAGCCCAACAGACAGAATAATCCAAAAGTGCTGGCTGCTAGTGCAAAAACATGACTACTTTCATTTCTTGATAGGCAAGCAGTTTTCCTCTGAGCAGAATCATGAATTGTGGGTAGTCGCATTAGGAAATATCTTTCATAGTCTGTCTGCTAACTCAGCCATGTGCAGTCACTCTTTGTGGATTATTCTATTTGCCTCCATTCCCCCTATGTTACACAACAACCTAGAAAAATGCTCTCAGAGGTGAGACGCCATCACTGCCCACTAGCCTAAATGTTTATCGTTAAGAATAGGTTTGGGACACACATTTTCTGTGTGGTTTCTGCCTTGTTGCTTCTTTTACTCACCTTGAATTTGTGTTCAATCAGTTGGTGGCTTGAAAGGTTAGTTAGCCCATGTCCCAACACTGGATGAGGCCCTAAGGAGCAGAAGGGAGGGGGGACTGTGAAAGTCAGGACAACTAAAGCCAGGGGAGGAAACAGATGCCTTTTGCACACAGGGATCTATAGGTGGAGATATAGTTACAGAAAACAGCAAAACTCGTTTGTGTGGGGGTTTTCATTCTTTTTCGTGAGGTGGTATACAACTGTGACTTTCCTAATGTTGCATTTTTTATGATTTACTCTGTTTAGAGGTTAACGTATGAAGAAAGAATGGCCCGTCGATTACTAGGTGCTGACAGTGCGACTGTCTTTAACGTTCAGGAGCCAGAGGAAGAAACGGCTAATCAGGTACTGTGTTCCTCTGGGCTTCTTAGAAAACTGACAGTTTCTGTGTCTCCTCTCCCCTAGTCTTTATGGACACTATTCTTGGTATTGACTCTGTGGAAAGTATAGGGCAGGTCAAAGAAAAGCATTATTTTATTTGTATTTACTGAGCACATACTATATGCCAGACATTGTGTTAATGATGCATAGAATTATTTCAGTCAGTGTCTGTTCTTTTTACCTTCTTGTTGATCAGTTTATTCTCCTTTCAAGTATCTTTCTGTTTTTCCTGACCTGTGCTTTCATGCAAAATAATTGTGTGTGGAGAGTAACTTATTTTCCTTGAAATTGTTTGAAATATCTAATGACTATTTCCAATCACATTTTTAATATTTAGTCAAAATAGCCACGTACAGAAAAACTGTATCTTTATTTTCCTTCACTTATATAATTATAAATCACTGATCAACAGAAAACCTAAAATGTTCTCCTGTTACCACCAAAAAAAGTCATTGATATAAGCCATTGTTTTTCATCTCCACTGCTTCTGTTTCCAGATGTAGTCTCCATATTAAAGTTTTAAAAATCAAGTAAACTCTTTCTTGTGTCTGTAGAGAAATGAATCTGAAAGATTTTCCTGTGTTAAATATAGCTACTGCAAAAATCTCCCTTAAAAAAAAACTAAAACTCTTGCTAGGTTATTATTTCTATTATTAGTCTTCACCTCTTTTTTTCTGCCATTACAGGAAATTGGGTCTCCTCATGCTTCTATAGGGAGTCCTCTGGATGGTCAAAAGGTTAAGCTTTTCACCTTTCTTCTCTTTCTAGTCTTTCACTCTATCTAGTTTCTTGTGTGCTTCCTTGTTTAATGCCATGTATGAATCATAAATACTATGACAGTGTCTATTTTCATTTAATGCCAGATGAACAAAATTAGTGCAACGTGATTTTTCTTGTCATTTATTACAAATTTGAATTTGATTGTCATTAGTGGATACTCTGAACTTTAAACTGTGAAAAGTTTCTCATCGTTATACCTTTCTAGGAAAAAGTACTAACTCTTAAATGGATTAATTTGATAGTAATTAGACAGAACAACTTATATGTTTTTTTAAATATATTTTTATTGATTTCAGAGAGGAAAGGAAAGGGAGAGAAAGATAAAAAAAATCAATGATGAAACAGAATCATTGATCAGCTGCCTCGTGTATGCCCCCTACTGGGGGGTTCAAGCTCACAACCCAGGCATGTACCCTAACCGGGAATCGAATCAAGACTTCCTGGTTCACAGGTCGATGCTCAACCACTGAGCGAAGCCGGCTGGGCAATTTGTGTATATTTTGCAGTTTTACTCATAGTGTTGTATTTCTTCTCAGGCCAATGGACTGTTTTTTAAAGGTCGAGTAACTTCTTTCAGAGAAAACCTAGTTAAAACAATCTTCTATTTACTACTGAGTAGAAAATCTCTTATAATGGGCTGCCTTGTCGTCTTTGTAGGCCAGCAACTGCAGTGCCCACGTTAATCACCTTAGGATGGTGGTGGGGGCTTTGCTTTTGCAAACACTTAATTAGACTGTCAACCCTTTGTTTCTTTTAAGGGAGTGGAAAACAGTTCCTAATAACTGCAGAGCTGAGGGAGTTCAGAGACTGTAAGAAAAGCATGGTGCCACTTTCCTGTGGTTTGTTTGATACAGTGCTGTGCAGCACTGCAGCTGCTGGCCACATGTACTGGTGCTGCCCTTCTGGAGAAGTGCACCCCCAGCGTCAGCGTTCCCCACAGAGTGAAATCGGTGTTCCAGCATGCTTTATTTTTACAAACAGTTTAGGGAAATATAGCCATTGCCTTTCTCCCTGACTCCCACCCCCAAAGAGAAATTCATCTTCATAGTTTTATACTTTGTGTTTTTGGATGAAGATAATTTGAAATATCATATACACTTACTCCCAGATGTTTTCTATTTCATATGCAACTGAAGTGGGCTCAGACCCGATTGTAGGCTCTGTGGTAAAAATATCACTGTCTTCTAAGAGCCTTCATTGGAGAGGGGATGAGGCTCGGGACACACTGTACCACAGGGGATTGAGGTTGTTAACAAGATCTTGCTCTGTTTGATCCAGGAATACAAAGTCTCCAGCTGTGAACAGAGACTCATCAGTGAAATCGAGTACAGGCTGGAAAGGTCTCCTGTGGATGAATCAGGCGATGAAGCCCACTGTGCGGATGTGCCTGTGGAAAATGGAGTGGCACCAGTCTTCGAGATGAAGCTGAAACATTACAAGATCTTCGAGGGAATGCCTGTCACTTTCACATGCAGAGTGACTGGGAATCCACAGCCAAAGGTGAGCTGAAAACATGACTTTTTAGGAGTCATATTTTCTGAGGTAGAGTTTGGCTTCCAAATTACAGCATGTATGGTAGGAGAGAGAGATCCAGACCACCTTTCTCAATACCCATGATATAAAATGCTTGAGGTACTATAAGTTCAAAGCCAACTTCAGGAAGCATTGGAAATCAATAAGGGTGGAACAGGGGTATCGTTTGGGTTTGAAAAATAGAATAGAATTGAATAATTGACAGAAGCTTTTCATACACCTACATCATTTACTCATGTGACGTCATCATTGCTACTCCCGAACTGCAAATGACTAAACTGAGCTCAGTGAGGCTGGTTAACTTCCCCAAGGCAGAGAGCTGGTGAGTGGCCAGGCTTGAACATGAGCCTGTGCACGGCACCATACAGCAAAGTGTGCTTACCGCTAATTATAAAACCCAAACTTCCAATATTACAAAGGGGGAGGGAATACTGTTGAGAAAGGATAATCAGAGAACATCTGGTACTCAGGAGGCCTGGGCTGACCTAACGGGGAGCGCTCCATACAGAAACGTAGAAATGCAAATGCAGATAGAGCTGCACTGTCTTTACAAGGGAGACGAGATTAACCGCTTAGTAGCCCAGCAAAGCAGTAACAGAATGACACTTTTCCCTAGAACTTGAGAGAATTAAAACACACACACACACACACACACACCCATGAGAAACTGAAACTTCAAATTTACCCTGTCACATGATATGGAGCCAAAAGCTGAGAAATTAATAAGAAACTGAGTCCAGGATAATTAAAATCTTTAGTTTTCTGGTGAAGCAAGCAAAGGTTATCATGTCCCATAGGACAGTTAGGGGCATATCATACTTATACAGGGAGGGAGGGAGAAAAAATGAGTTCCTAGTAAAAACTTACAAACCCATATGAGGAAATAGGAAAACAGAAGTCAGTCAATGACATTATATGGAATAATCTTGATACTATAAAATAACTGTTCAAAATGATTGAAGCAATTTTTAAAGGAATAGAAAGTTTAAGACACAACAGGGCAATACTAAAGACAAGGCAAATTTGTAAAGTAAGCACATAGAAATGAAAAACACACTCACTGAAATTAAAAGCTTACCAGGGATGTAAAAGAGCTGAAATGAGAATCAGTTGAATGGAAGGGGGGAAAGTGATATGAAAATACCTGAAACTTCTGTGTGTTAATGCTGCACATTGTTGTTTTATTTTCTCAATAAGGTGTTCTTTCCCTAAAACCAAATTCTAAGCCCATAGTCAGAGAAACAGAGAGAGAAAAAAAAAAAGCCTTAGATTTTCAACCCATATCCACCCCTAACAAAAGGAGACTTCTAAATAAACTGTTATTAGAGCAAACTTCTTTATTATATTCTTGGCATAATTTTGGTAATTGCTGTGTATTCACACACATGATGCCAAATGCATGCATTAAAAATAAACTTGCAGCTTATGAATGAAACTGAGTAAGAAATTATATCTTGAACTTCCATAATATTCATAAAAGATCCTATGTTAAACATTAATCAGTGCTTAAGATCACTGATGCAGTTCTAAGATTACTGATTCCTGTCCTTAAAGGATATTACGTTCAACTTGAAGATGGGCTATTGTAAGTAACAGAACTGTGTTTTTTCTAGTACAAGTTTAAATATTTCTTGGCTTTAAAAGGTTTAATTTTATTTTTTTTAGAACTTTTAATTAGATTTTCTTCTTCATCCTTCCTTTTTTCCTCCCTCCTTTCCTCATTGCCATTCTTTTCTTCCCTCCCTGGTTTAAAGAAGAATTGCTCTTTTTTTTCTGCATGATATATAAATTAAGATTATTAAAGTATGGAACACTCACTATGTTTTTAGAAATGTATTATGCCCTTGACATGCTTGTTCTGAGACATGAGAAGACTAAACAGTAGTCTTGGTAAAATTTTGGAACTTTTTCTTTAATTCATTTGAAAGTTGTATTCCAAGTATAATGGAGGTGAAAAATACAATTAAAGGAAAGAAATGACTCGGAAGAACTCGATACTAATTACAGCTTCTCTGTTCCATCAGCAATCATGGAACCACTAAATAGAGTATGATAATTATGAAGTATAATGCTTTATATAGTTTAATTTTTTAGAACTAAAAGTTATTAGTCTAGTTGATTAATTTTTAGGTTCTGGAGACTAAAAATAGTTCCTGTAAATTTGGAGCTAATTGAAAAATAGAGGTTGGAAGTTAGAGCAGTCAGACCCTGATTATTCATGCACTTATTTAGTGCTGTATGTTTCAGGCCTTTTCCTACATTTTGAAGTGGACGTTTCAAAAAGATTTTTCAGATTCAAAAGCTCTGACAGGGAGGTGAATTTCAATGTCAATGTGGCATTAAAAGCTGAAGGCTCTAAAGGAGTTTTCATCTGTTAGGAATGCTTTTGGTTGCAAGGAACAAAACTGACAACAAAGAACTTATTGTGGCTTAAAAACGGAGTGATTTATTTCCTTCCCTACCAGTTAGTCTGGAGGTGGGTAGGCATTAGTGCAGCATTTCAATCATATTAGGGCTGTCTTTCAACTGTGTAGTTCAGAAATAATCAAAAATCATGAGCAATCCATTGACCAGTAAAGGAAGGAAGATCTACCGAAGATGTCATATGACCATTTAAATGTTTATTTCACCAAAATTCATTTTTACTTTATTTTTTGCATTTAATTTTCTACCAACCCAAGTTAAAATATTATTTGAAAATTATTACATTAAATACTATTGTGTTTTCTTTAACATAGTGGAAGACCTGGCAACTTTGAACCTTTGGTCATATGCTCCTGATCTGGAATTAAAGCAGTAGAGTTCCACCCGCCACCAGCCCTGAACTGCTGCCTGCCTCCTCCCCACCATTTTAGTGTCTAACATGGTTCAGTGGAATGATTAGAGTTTTGGGTCTGTTTGTGTTCTCTAAAATAACCCTTTTATCTTCACTGTACAAGTACTACCTTCTAATTGAGTACATTTGCAATTAGAAGCAAAAAGAAAAATAATATATAATAATATGTGACTGTAAATACCTACTTACATATTTAAAAGGTAAAAGAATATATAATTTTTTAAAACTAAAATATAATTAAATTTGCTTATTACCTACTCTTTTCACTTAAAATTCAATTGCCTATTCAGATGTTCCAATTAGCATTTGAAAGTGAAAACTCAGATCAGCTCTGCAGACTACACAGTTGTTGTTTATCAGTCCCCCAAACTGTACTATACACACCCTTAATTTTTAATCTTGTTTCTTTTCACAGATCTACTGGTTTAAAGATGGAAAGCAGATCTCTCCCAAGAATGATCACTACATCATTCAAAGAGATCTTGATGGGACGTGCTCTCTCCACACCACAGCCTCCACCCTAGATGATGATGGGAACTACACCATTATGGCTGCAAACCCTCAGGTAAAGAAGGGTATATACAGGTCTTGCTTCAGTTCTGTGTGCAGCTGACCTTTGAATAACACAGGTTTGGACAGCACAGGTCCACTTATCTGTGTGTTTGGTGGTGGTGTTGGTTTTTTGTTTGTTGTCAGTAATTGCAGTAAATGTATTTTCTCTTATGATTTCTTAATAACATCTTTTTTCTGGCTTACTGTATTTAAGAATACAGTATATAACACAGATAACACACAAAACACGTGTTAATTGACTGTTTATGTCAGAGGTCCTCAAACTTTTTAAACAGGGGGCCAGTTCACTGTCCCTCAGACATTTCGCACTGCGGGCCCGGGATGAGTCAGCTGCTAAGCAGGACAGGCAGCGGCGGGCGGATAAATGTTTTCGGCGGGCCGCATGTGGCCCGCGGGCCGTAGTTTGAGGACGCCTCGTTTATGTTATCAGTGAGGCTAACAGGAGGCTATTAGCTTGGGGGAGTCAAAAGTTATATGGAGATTTCAAATGCGGGAGGGGGTCAGCTGTCTAGAGCTTACAGACATTTATTTGAACAGAGGAACTGTTTGATTAAAAGATGGAATATTACCTCTTTGATTTGAAACTATTTTCCCAATTTCTACACCATCTCCGTTTGAAGGGGTAGAAAAATTCTTTTTTTTTTTTTTCATGAGTATTTATTTATTCCACCAAGCGATTTTCTATATGAGTAATTCTGGTGCAGATGTGCCTTCTTTCCATACTACCAAGGGCCTAATATGTACACCTATGATATAGGCGATAGGCAAGACAAAGTCCTGAGACAGAAAATAAGCCAGTAAAAAATACAAATCATATATCAGTTCAGATAGGATTAAGTCTATGAAGTGAAAAAAGGAGTTGTGTGTATTATGCTATAGTAAAAAACAAAAAAGTACAATATTTAAAATATATATATACCCACACTGAAATCAATGGAATTTAAATAATGTATAAGTGTAAATCATAATTCTGATAGTACCCATATAAAGGAGTCCCCTCTAATCTGCAGATTCAGTTACCAGTGGTCTATGCAGTCCAAAAATATTAAATGGAAAATTCCAGAAATAATTCATAAGCTTTAAATTTCATGCCCTTCTAAGCAGAGTGATGAAATCTTATGCTGTCCCGCCTGGGACATGAATCACCCCTTTGTCCAGCACAATAAGATTTTTTGAGAAAGAAATCACATTCACATAATTTTATTATAGTATATTATAAAATTCTATTATTGTCGCTAATTGCTTACTGTACATCATTTACAAATTAAACGTAATCATAGGTGTGCATGTAGAGCAGCAGTTCTTAACCTGGGGATCGTGCCCCTTTGGGGGTCAAACGACCCTTTCACAGGGGTCACCTAAGACCATCGGAAAACACATATATAATTACATATTGTTTTTGTGATTAATCACTATGCTTTAATTATGTTCAATTTGTAACAATGAAAATACATCCTGCATATCAGATATTTACATTACGATTCATAACAGTAGCAAAATTAGTTACGAAGTAGCAACAAAAATAATTTTATGGTTGGGGGTCACTTAAAGGGTCACGGCATTAGGAAGGTTAAGAACCACTGATGTAGAGGAAAAGCATAGTATACACAGCATTGATATTAACCATGGTTTCTGGTATCCACTAAGGGTCTTGGAAGGGATCTCCTGCAGGTAAGGGGGGACTACTATAGCATTCAGGATTTTTTGTTTGTTTCCATCCAATTGTTTTCTCTTGTTTTAGGACCAAAAAATCAATTGCTTAGAATTTAATAGGCGGCTACCTGGGTATCATGTTATCATTCCAAAACTGCAAATTCTTTTTTATTGACTATCTTATATATTTTAGGCACTATGCTGGGCACACAGAAATGATTAAGAAGTTAGTTTGTACATTAGAACTCAGTGTGATGGGACATTTTTACAAAGTCAGCAGAAGTCATGTAAATAACATGCTTTTAAGGGGAAAAAAAGGAAGCTAAAGTTAACAGTTTTCAAGAGGTTGTTCTGAAATCATTTTTTAACATTCCAGTCATACCATATTTCTTTTTAAGGAAATATTAAGTGTCAGAAAATGACAGATAATTTTAGCAAATTTTACAAATGTGTAAGTTCATTCAGTGTCCTCCTATCCTAATATCACGTTGTTGTATAAAGATATATATTTCTAAGGTAATACTGAGATTAAAATGAACCTCAAATCATCTACCAATTAGGTTGTGACAGAGCACAGCAAACTCTTCAGTGTCAGGGGACAGTTTCCACATTAGTGCATTTTCTCAAGGTTCTACTGTTTCAATCAATGACTACATGGCCATCACCTTGAAAAATAGTCAAAATCACAACCTTTACTGAAAAGTTACGTTAATTTTTATTTGTATTCATTTTTGGTGTATTTGAGGGAACAAAAGTGGAACCTACTTTTTTTTTCTTACTATATTTTCAGTATGTTTCCTTGACTATTAACAAATTTCAATTTTTAGTTCTCTGCCTACTTAAAAGTGGAGAACTCAACAAAAATCTAAAATGTTTCTTTCTGTTGGGTTCTTTGTTCCTCTTTTCCCTAGGAAGGCTGGGATATATTAAGGAGACAGAATTAACTGTGTCCCTTAAACATAAACAGTACTGGGATCCTGCTATGGTTTCCCTGGCAAATGTGTTAAGCTGTTACTGGAGTAAACAGTTTAAAACTCTGATTATGAGTCTACTTCTTGTCTTCTTCAAATTACACTAATGAATTTTCACATGTAAAAAAGTTGTAAAGGGGAGGCCTCCCTGTGCAATGCCCGCGAAAGTACGCAGAGATGAAGACAGCAGCCCCGCCTCAAGGGTCTCTGAGCATTTGAACTATGATGGGTCACTAGATAAAAGAGGGCTGCTAAAGATTAATTCCCCTTGGAAACAAAGAAGAGGAGGAAGGGATAAAAACCAAAAGAAGGTACTGAAAAGCCTAGAGGCTGTATAGTTCAAAGGTTAAAAGCACAAAACTTTAGCAGCAACCAGACCTGAGTTGGAGTTCTAGCTCTGCCACTCCTGACCTGTGTGACCTTCAGCAAGTCACTTAACCTCTTTGTTTCTCTTCTATGAAATTATAATAATACTAGAGGCCCAGTGCACAGATTCGTGCACTGGTGGGGTCTCTCAGCCTAGCCTGCGCCCTCTGGCAATCCGGGACCCTTGGAGGATGTTGGACTGCTGGTTTCAGACCAATCCCTGCAGGGATCAGTTTGGGCCGAACATCCCCCAAGGGATGTAGTAGTGCGCGAAGCGGCAGGCGGCCAGGGAGGAGCCCAAGCCCGGGCCGGGCACCATGCCACTACCACTGATCCTGCCCCGCCGCTCCCGTCACTCAGTAGCACTGCTGCAGAAGGGGGAGAGGCTCGCACCACTGCAACTGTGCTTGCCAGCCATGAGCCCGGCCTCTGGCGCCCATCAGTCAGCTGAGCGGTGCTCCCGCTGTGGGAGTGCACTTACCACCGGGGGCAGCTCCTGCATTGAGTGTCTGCCCCCTGGTGGTCAGTGCACGTCATAGCAACCGGTTCGGTCATTTAGGCTTTTATATATATATAGACTAGAGGCCCGATGCATGAAGATTTGTGTAAGAATGGGCCTTCCTTCCCCTGGCTGCTGGCACCGCTTTCGCTCCGGTCCGGAGCCACCTTCCCACGCTGCCCAGAGGCCCCGAGCAGCTGGGGTGGTGAGGAACGCCTGCATCGTCACCATGGCAATGACGCAAGCGTCTGCCCCTGGCGCCTGTGTATGCAAATTAACTTGTCATCTTTGTTGGGTTAATTTGCATACTCACTCCTGATTGGGTGGTGGCATTGTGAAGGTACGGTCAATTTGCATCTTTCTCTTTTATTAGTGTAGATTGGTTTCAATAATATATGTAAAGCACTCAGTTTACCTGGCACATATTTCACTTCCAATAAATGCTAGTTATTGTCATTATTTTAATTCAAAGACACCATTAATCCTGTCTTAGAGAAGCAGCCCAAAGAGGTGGCAGAAGCCTGAGGAACCAGGATATAAAGGGTAGTCTGTCTGTTTCTAGGTGCCCTGCTCCCACAATACCATTAGAGAGTAAACAAGTCAGTTTGGGATAGAATTTCTACCCAAAATGTTGCTGATGTGTGGTCTTCTGTCCTTCTGGCTTTTCCTTTTTACCACCCCCATGGGAAAGGAGTAAGGCAGCAGACATGGCTCTGCCACAGCTGTGGGCTTCGGTGGAGGGAGCCCTGAGCTAGCGTGGGGCCACACCCACAGCACAGCTGACAGGGGCCACACATGAAGACAGCAGCTGCTCTCTGCTCCCAGCACACTCAGGACCAAGAGAAGGCACCAAAGAGAGCCTCGCTGCCCTCATTTAGGCTGCAGAGAGCTCTGCCGCTCTACCCGGTCCAGGAGGAGCCCCATTGAACCCTCACTGGTGCTTTGACTCGACTCCCCTTTGATGAGAAGACAAAGAAAGAAGTGGACCCATTTACCTCAGGTAGCCACAAGCCCGCCCTTCTCACAGAACATCCCAATTCTCCTGTGATAAAGCAAATAGTAATATGAATGCTCTCAGGGAGCAAGAGTCAAAAAGCCCCAGTGTTCAGCCACCAGAGCAGTTCCTAATATCTAGAATCCCCAGGTTAGTGGATTGGACCATTATTCTAATCAAAAGGGTTGGGCTAAAAAATCTCTTTTTCTATCTGAATGACCAAAGGCAGGCATAGGAGGGGAAACTCAGGAAGGCAATCTGAGGAAATGCTAAAAGTGGGCATTTATTCCTAAAATCAAAATTGTTGTGAGAGAATATTTATAGCACTTGGTAGTAGTCGCTGTGCCAAGTTTCTGAGTATGTTGCCAACTCCTCTATCTTGGGGACTTCAGTGGCAGATATGTCCAAATATGACAGATGTAGGTTTTGTGAGTTGTCACCTAGAAATTGTTTAACTTCACTACCATTAGAAAAATAAAGCATAAGTATTTTTTGTTAGTCCTCACCGA